CGGGCAAAATGTTTATAAATTTGTAAACCAAGAATTGACTATTCAGATATTTTTTCAAAGTTTAGAAGCAGCAATTATTGGGGGGGAAACTCAACTAAGTCTTTAAGTTACTTTTGTAACCAAGATCTGTTTTATCTTTATATAAGATGATTGAAGTCAATGAGCCCTAGAGGTGAAGAAATCTTTAATGAATTTTTTAACAAAAACTCTAGTTAATTAGACTGGTAGTTTCCAAATGTTGGCTCATTGAGAAAGTTTTCATTGATCCTTGATAAGAAAAATAAGGACTATGCAACAAGTTTTTCACAAATCTAGACCTGTTGAATTTAAAGAACTGTATTTTCTTATAGTATGACCTTTCTTAATTTTTCATATTAAAGGATGGTGATGATAAGTGGCAATTTTTTTTAATGTCCTCAATTTGCAAAATTTTGCAGTTCTAAAGATTCAAAAGAAATCCCAAAGTCTTAGAAACACTGAATTAATTTATTGATGATCTGAGCTACACTTGAATTTTTAAAATTGTACCTGTAGAGAATGAGAACATAGAAATTGGGATTTCTGACATTTCAAGGCATCCAAGTTTTCTCAAAGTCTGACTGACATATATTGGAACACATTTCTGTCCTAATTTAAAACACATACATCTTTCCTTTGTCCAGATTTGCCTCTGAAACACTTAACAAAGAAAAAACAATAATGCTATGGCAATAAACCACGACTCAAAGGACATAAAGTTGGCCCAAATGCTGTCTGGCTGGTATGATAGAACAGACTTAAGTGTAACATTTTAAATTAATAAAGCAGCCTTCTACATAGTATTGACTGTGCACCTACTCTTAGCAGAACCCTTTTGTAGAAAATACACCTAGTTAGGTATACTTAATTATTAGCATGATAGTTAAGCACACAAGCTTTACAAACTTAATTCTGCATTCTGGGTATGTGAACTTGGACCTTGTTAACCTCATAACTTCTCTGAATTTTAATTTCTAATCTATTAAGTAGGGAATATAACTGTATACCACAGGCTGTACCTATTTCAGATTACATGAGATAATGCACTTGACCTAGTGCCTGTTCCACACATAGAAGGGACAGCTCATCATTTTCACATTATTTTATGAGACTGGCCTTCTTCCACTCATTCAAAATACTAAACCCAGATTTGCCTCACAATCTTAGGACTAGCACAACTCTTGGCACATTAAATATATGCTCAGTAAATATTTGCTGAATGAATTAGCTAGACCCTTTGCTTGTGTTGTACATCAGCCCACTGATCAACATTAGATAAAAACACATTCAAACAACATTCAAACAAGTGAGATGCTTTCTCTGCAATAGTGTTTCTTTTTTCTTTATTAGCGTCCCATATTACAATGTCTTTTTCATCCATCTGTTTTCTCCCCCCGGCAACACAATTTCCCTCTCCACCCATTTACTTTGTCCCACAGGCAAGTAAACCTCTCACTCCCACCTGTCCACCTGGCCATCAGCCAGCCAGAATGAGTCTTCCTGCTCCTCATAATTGCTCGTCTTGATTGACAGGCTGGCAAAGTAGGACAGTGGATCATGATTATAGCAAAAACATACAACAGATTGTTTAGGAAGGGTAAGAAACAAACAGAAAGAAATTGCAATGATTTACTCATCCTTTAGCAAAATTTTGTTTTCTGTTTTTCCTACTTTATTTGGAAAGACTAACTATAGGAGGATTACTGGTAGAAGAATGAATAAACACTGTGTTTAGAAGAACAAATTTCTCATACTATAAAAGGTTCTGAGAAGTTCTAAGGCCAAAAGCTATGACACTCAAAATCCAGGTAGAGAAATTTGCAGGAAGCAAAGTATGTTTAACATAGGACTAATTCTAACATAGCCACAGAGTTCTGTCAACATGCCAAGAAAAGAAAAACAGGATAAAATTAATTTTGAGTCCCTTTGTTTCAAGAATCTATTTTCCTTTTTTGTATACTGTACCAGCAATGTCAGCACTAGAGACAGCCCAGAGAGGAAATACTCTCCACACCCAGCTACCCACAGATTATCCAGTAACCTGATCCTGCAAAGAAAAGAGAAAATTGTTTCCCTTAAAAAGAGACCTTCCTAATTCATTAGCATCTCATACAATGCTCACCATTTCTTTTCTGCTAAGATAACCTTATTCCTAGGCTCTAAAATGAACTGTTTTCAGGGTCAAATGGCTGTAGCATCTCCACCAACGGCTGGCATATACATTTCAAATACAAAATACTACTGCTGTGAATTGCAGGACACTTTGAGAAAGAAATTAATGCTTCCCAACTAATCTCTGCTCACTTCATTCCCCAGGTATAAGGGGAAGGAGAAAAAAAGTTCTTAAAGGTGGACCTTTTATATGTATGCAAGCAGAGAACATGAGATTTTGCAAAGTTAAAAATGTTTTTAGGAGTACATACAAGAACCGTGAAGGCCAATGAATAGTTCATAATTAATTTAAAGACGTGTAAAGTTTACTTGAAAATGGGTAGTTTTGTTTCTGTTTTTCCAGTGGTAAATTTACCAGGGTACTAACTTAAGTTTAAAAGATGACGAGGCAGGAAGAAGCACTACAAATACAGGAGCAAACAAAGCCGGATGGGTTGGGTTGATCTGCTAACTTGCTCCCCATCAAATGTCAGATACGGAATTGCCAGATAATAAAGAATCTACTGTACTTTCAAGATTTCAATTTTATATCTAGATTGTGCTGAATTTCATATTTTACTTCTAGATGGAAAAGAAGAAGAAAAACAAAAACCCTAAAAGATTTCCAGACCTTGGGTGTTTACAGGGCCTCCACATAGTAAATCAAGGTACTGCTGTCTTGTTTTCTCCACAGTCAGACAGAAATAATACTGCACCAGCAGAGGTGTGAATTACCCCCATTCATCTTAATGGAGTGTTAACTTCAAAGGCTTGTTTTAACCATTTAAATGCTTAGCTCCTGAGTAAACATTCCATTTAGAAAAAAAAAAAGTACGTTTTAAACATTTACCTTCAATATATAAAAGTAATTTATATTCTTAGCACTTCAAGACTTTTAATTTAGCAAACAAGTCTCCAAATGTTAAAAAAAAGTATATTTTTTGTGCTTTACTTGGTTTTATTTTAAATAGTTATTACCCAATAAATTACGAACTTTAAGCCCATAGTGAGAAGGCCTACATTTTGCAGGAAAAACGCTGAGGAGTACTTGAATACGGTTTTTTGGTAATCTCAGTAAAGGGGGCACTGTTCTTACCACCCATTTTATTAGCTTCCTCCTAACTGATAGGGAAAGTTGTGACTCCAAACTGGCAACTATGTAAGGCAGACTGTTAAAGTAAAATAAAAATGAACACCTCCACAAATAATTTCTTTTGATTTTTAACTAAGTTTTGTGCAGAGTTTTCAATAGGTTACTTGTCCCTTTGTCAAACCTCCCATGATCCTATCCTATGAGCAGGTGACAAATGTATTAATTGATGCCCAGCTGTCATCACACTTAACATTTGCCCCAGGGGGCAGCCTTGCATCTGTTGCAGATTTAGGGTTATTTTAGTATTACTGGAGTTAGATTTATTTAAGCAGCTGAACTCCTATTTGTATTTGGATCCATAATTTCACAAACAGAAAAGTGGATACAAGAAATAGCTTATCAGATTAATGGGCTCTGGCTGACCTGAAGCCACATCGGAGGCCATGCCTGGTTGTACCTCTGAGGCCATGCTAAGTGCCTAGTTTCAGGAAGGCATTAGTAGCCAAATACAGCTGGGGTAAAACTCTGGGAAAGCACTAAAAACGGTGCAAATGGGGCCCTGTGAGTGAAGGCTAGAGAAAGATTCTGAAGACACTACCTGTGCAAGATGGAAGACGAAGAAATTCAAGATGTGTTCCCATGTCCTTGATTAAAATCAAATTCATTTTTACTGGTCCAGATGAAGAAATCAGAGAAAGGCGATAAACATCTAATCTATTAAGAGAGCCTGTTTTGGTCTGCACTTAATTGATACAAACCCATCTAATTCTCACAACACAACCCTATATAATAAGTATCACCTCAATCTTATAGACGTGAAAATTGAGGTTCAGAGAGGTGAAGTAGTATGCCTAAACTAATTTACATCTGAACTCAAGTGTTTTGGAACCAAAAGGTTGGGCTTTCTCCTTTACAGCATGCTGCTGTCAAGTTGCTGAAGAAGTATCTTAATCCAAAAAAGCAGCTCAGTTGTCAATTTTTCAGCCCCAGTTTCCTAAGTGGGATGCAAGGGAGCACCAGCAAAAGTGTGCATTTCCACATATGCAAATTATCACTTTGCATGCAATTCTCTACTTTACGTTGGCACCAGGGTATGATTACATTTTTACTGCTACACCCCGGCTTTGGTAGACTTCTAACAAGGGCCCTTTACATAGAACAGTCACAGGGAGGAGAGCCCTAGCTTCTGATTTCCAACCAGTAATAAGCCATGTCAATGGGAAGACTGAAATGATTTAAAACTCCCAAACAAAATATGATATAAATTACCAATATTTGCCTCTGCTTGCCAAGAAGAAATCACGTTTCAGTGACAAACTGTGAAAGCTCAGAGAACTTTCAAATACAGTCATCATCCCAGTTTTCTAATGAACAACAGAAGAAAACCAGAAAAGTTTCCTAGACAGGATTTGGAGGCAGGGCACAATACCAAGTGGAATAATCCCACATATTGTTATTAGAGATTGATGCTGACGTCATTAACCCACAAGGTAGGATGCAATTTTTTATATAAATTTGATACACTGATTTCCCAAAAACAAAAACACAACACATTACAACAACAACAAAAACCAATAAAACCCAAAACAAATAAGCAAACAAAAGATTGACCTAATATATTTAAGAACATTTTGAGGTGGTTTCTTACGTGAAGAATGTTGAAATGGCAAATGTTTTGTTACATATATATTTACCACAAACAAAACTCACTATACTCCCACTTTCCTCTATTCCCTACTATTTTCTTCTGTTTTTCTATTAATTTTTATAAAAATGTTAGTCCATATAAAGAGGATTCATCCGCAGCACCTTCCAGAATCATTCTTGCATATGAAAGTAAATTATTCTTCATAAAAAGTAGAAAATACTTCTTTCATTTATTAATCCAATCAAAAATGATGAGTGCTAAACTAAAACTTCCAACCAAAATTCCAAAGATAAGCAAAACACAAGCCTGTGGAAATAAGGGGGGGAGGGAAACAATTAGAGTATTTTTTAAAACTCCACCCACCCCAATAACTTTATATTTCATAATATACAGCTCTCTTGATGTAGATAAGATACTTAATATAAGATGATAAATTATTTCTTTAAATAGGATTTCTAAAAAAAAAAAAAAAAAAATTCAACCTACCCCAAGCTTTTTCCATGAGAGAAAATCCTCTCTGCTAAGCTTAAGATAAAACAGTCCGGGAAATACAAAAATCAAACATGTTGATGTGCTGGCACCTTTAAGTGGGAGGGGGAAGAAAAAAGAGGACGTTAACAGATTCAGATGTGAGGCTGGGTACAATTTTATCCATGTTATCCATTTCATTATATGGATTTTTTTGAAATAGAAAACTTACCAACTACACCAAATACATTTCTAATGTCAGGAACATATATTGCAAGCAAAACAATGATAATATTGAGTGCTAGAGTGACCAAAGAATGGTGAATCCATGAAAATGGAAAATTGGAGAAAAATATCATCATTAAAGCTTTCCTTGCCTGTATAATAGAAAAGGAGACTAATTTAAGCAAAAAGTGTCAAAGTCAAAATACATGCTTAGAGCAACACAAATGATATAACAGTAGCCATGATATTCTTGCCCCCTAAACTGTTTAGGGAGCCCTGGTGGGGCAGTGGTTACAGTGGTTAAGAGCTCCGCTGCTAACCAAAAGGTCGGCAGTTTGAATCCACCAGCTGATCCTTGGAAACCTTATGGGGTAGTTCTACTCTGTCCTATAGGGTTGCCATGAGTCGGAATCGACTTGATGGCAACAGGTTTGGTTTAGTTTTTAGAAACTGTTTAGATTCTAGAAAGTTAGCATAAGCTAGTATCAAAGTGTTCATACACATAAACTAAGAAATACACCTCTCTGTGTGAGCTTCATAAACAAATTATTTTGTTTTAATTCTAGAAAAATTTTTCACACATTTTCATTAGGTTGCAAAATTTTTAAAATTACTAACAATAACACTGTGTAATGAAATCTCAATCATTATGATTAAATTATACAGATAGAAGAACAAAAGTTTTAAAATATAAAATAGAAACTATGCCACGGGAAAGAAATATCATTTACTATTGTATTTGCTATCATCTGTTTCACAGCATGTAAATATGAAAACTAGCTCAGGACACTTCTCAGCGCTCAGGTGGGGCAGCAGGCAGTCACATCCCAAAAATGTTTCTCCAGCTCCCGCCGCATGCCTGGCACCACAATCCACACAGGGAGCAGGTAAAGGACTTTGAAGGTCCAGTTCTTAAAGAACTCACTGTTTAGAGATTCAAAACGTCCATCCAGAAGCATTTACACACAAAGCCTTTGTTTCTATTTTCTCAGAAATTCTTAAGATGCTTATGTATAATAACTTAGGTGCAGAATGAAAATCTGTTTTGCCTGTTCAATTGTAATTCCAGAGCAAATACAACCTTTTGACTAAGATTAAACTAGAATGTATATGTGAAAATAAATTTACAATAAACCAAAAGAAGCTTATTTTTGCTAACTCGACTTTTTCTTCTTCATGCACATTCTTTTGAAAACAGAATACAGAATTTAAGAGAAAAAAAAGAAAAAACCAAACCCAAGACGTTAGAAGTACTACAGTCTCTAAATTGGAAACAATGCTGTGGGAAAGTGCAAATCTAAACTAAATCTCAAAAAGCACAAATTAGCTTAGTGGTTCACTGTTATTTTTGTGCTTTCATGGGGCCATATGCAAGTATGAGGTCTTTGATCAATTACTTGACAAATGAATAAGATATACAAGACTATATGTGATTCAAACGTTCTAGTCTGCAACGAATTAGTGTTGCCATATTAGGGAACCACTACACTATGCAACAAAACCTTTAAGAGTACTTACAGGGAAGTGGATTAGAGGGACTGTCAAAAGCACAGCAAATAGTATGCATAACTTCACAGTTATGACAATAACATCATGTGGCAAGTATTTACTATAACCTTGTAGTAATTCTGATTCCACTTTGTCTGTAAATAAATAAAATTATAAGGATCACATTACAAACTACTGAGACATCAATTAATAGCAGAATTATTTTCTTTTGTACAAATGGCTTTTATATTTTGGATTCCCAGTACCAAATCCATCTTCGGCCTTTTCCCTATCTTATGAAACATAGAGATAATAAAGATCTTTTTAAAACCTACAATCTTTTTTTTTTAAATAAAATTAGAAACTAGCACAGGCGAACCTCTAAAATTATGATAAAGAATGCACATATACACACACCTCTTTACAACTTTGCCATCATCTGAATGTTTTGAACAACACTTAATTGTTGTTTATTTATAAAGTGTTTTCACATGTATTGTTGAATTTTGTCCCTATAACAACAGTATGAGATACATAGGTAGGCTCAAAAATATTAAATAACTTGTCCAAGATCACACAACACCAAGTGGCAGAGCTGTAAACCCAAGTTTTGTGTGTATCAAAGTTTGTACATTTTCCTCAATACTACAATGTTTCTTAGACTCTCATAGAGTTTTGCGTATGTTACATGCTTCACCAACATTTCATACGAGGATTCATCTTTCATAAAAAGTGAATGCACTCTTAGGGAAATGGCTTATTTAGCAAGCCAGCATGGTAGTCAGTGATAGGATTTGTACATGCCGACCATGCTTTGTCCTGACACCTCATATGGTGTTCTTCCATTCTGACAATGTCTCCTCCTACCCAGATGAGGGGTATGAAGAGTGAAGGTTCTCAAGAACACTGCATATCAGTGCCTTGTGGAGAAAGATGGCTGCTGTTGTTAGCTGCCATTGAGTAAGCCCCGACTCATGGTGACCCCGTTGTGATGAAATGCTTCCTGATCATGTGCCATCCCCATGATTGGTTGGGGATCAGACCGTTGTGATCCATAGGGTTTTCATTAGCCGATTTCTGGAAGTAGATTGCCAGGCTTTTCTTCCTAGTCTGTCTTAGGCTGGAAGCTCCACTGAAACCTGTTCAGCATCATAGTAACATGCAAGCCTCCGCTGATAGAGGGTGGTGGCTGCACATGAGGTGTATTGCCAGGAATTGAACTGGGTCTCCCAGATGGAAGGACAGAATTCTACTGCTGAAACACCACTGCCCCCATGGTGAAATATTAGTTTGTGTTTAAAATAGAATTGTGCTTTCCTTATTAGAGAGTATACGTTTTAGTAAGGATGCTTTGGGAGAAATAAAAAAACAAATCAAACATACCAGTTTTTAAGGATCTTAAAATTTCTATTACACACATTTAATAGAAAATGTATACACACATATACACACATAGGTGGTAGAAGAAAATTCTATAAACAAAAGGAAATCCAGGAAGGCTTTGTGGAGAAGCCTCATGATATAATGTGCAACAGGATGGTCCTAAAAACCAAACCTGTTGCCATAGAGTCAATTCCAACTCATAGTGACCCTTTAGGACAGAGTAGAACTGCCCCATAGGGTTTCCAAGGCTGTAATCTTTACGGAAGCAGACTGCCACATCTTTCTCCTGTAGAGTGGCTGGTGGGTTTGAACTGCTGACCTTTCGGTTAGCAGCTGAACACTGATGGTACAGGGGCTCAAATTTTGGCACTACAACAAGCAATGTTCAAATCCCACTACTTACTAGGAACTTAACCTCTCTGAATCTCTCAGCTCCTACATCTATAAAATGGGGACAATAATATATTGACCTACAGTTACTGAGAGCATTAAATGAGTTAATGTATGTGTGTTGATATTCAATAATGTGGGGGAAGAGGTTCTCTAGGAGGAAGACCCAAATAAAGCAAAAGTCCTGACGTGGCAAAGGGAATGTTCATCCGAGAAAGAGTAGTTCAGCAGTACTGCAGTGGCTGAAATGTAGCATACTATAGAGCAAAGGGAGTAGTGGGGAGAAGGCTGGAAATGTAGAACAGCATTCAAGGCCCAGAATAGAGCTCTTTGTAGGGTTTGGATTCATTCTGATAGGTCACAGAGATGCTTCATAACTACTTATGAAGAATAGCATATTATGATCCAAACTAAGAGGACAGACTGGCCCAAAACAGGGATAACAGTTAGAAGGCTACTGTCATAATAAGTAAGAAGTAATGAGAATCTGAACTAGACTAGTAACAATGGAAACAGGAGAGAAACTACTTCTGCAAAGTATCAAAGACATACTTTATACAAGGTTGGACTAACAGACTAAATAGAAAACTAAGAAGAGCCAGGAAACCTGGATTCCATTTCCAAATCTGTGAGATACTTGTAGGTCTTTGAAAAATATGGAAAACTATTTTACTTCCATTTTCTGAATCATAAAAATGAGATATTAACACTTCCTGCTTAATAACTTCATAGACTTTTTAAATGGTCTGGCTATTATGCAACCCACCACTCGTCTGTCAGTTTGTTGGACTGTGGTGGCTTGCGTGTTGCTATGATGCTGGAAGCTGTGCCATTGGTATTTCAAATACCAGCAAGCTCACCCATGTGGGCAGGTTTCAGCTGAGCTTCCAGTCTAAGACAGAGTAGGAAGAAGGACTTGGCGATCTACTTCTAAGAAAAACAGGACAGAGAAAACCTTATGAATAGCAATAGAACAGTGTCTGACATAGTGCCAGAAGATGAGCCCCTCAGGTTTGAAGGCACTCAAAATATGACTGGGGAAGAGCTGCCTCCTCAAAGTAGAGTTGACCTTAATGACATACATGGAGTCAAGCTTTCGAGACCTTCGTTTCATGATGTGGCATGACTCAAAATGAGAAGCAGCAGCTGCAAACGTCCATTAATAATCAGAACATGGAATGTATGAAGTCTGAATCTAAGAAAATTGGGTATCATAAAAAATGAAATGGAATGCATAAAGATCAATATCCTAGGCATTAGTGAGCTGAAATGGACTGATATTGGCCACTTTGAATCAGACAATCATATGGTCTACTATGCTGGGATGACAAATTGAAGAGGAATGGCGTCCCATTCATCATCAGAAAGAACATTTTAAGATCTATTCTGAAGTACAATGCTGTCAGTGATAGGATAATATCCATATGCCTACAAGGAAGACCAGTTAATATGCCCAGTATTCAAATTTATACTCCAACCACTAATACCAAATATGAGGAAACTGAAGATTTTTACCAACTTCTGCAGTCTGAAATTGAGCAAACATGTAATTAAGATGTATTGATAATTACTGGTGATTGGAATGAGAAATATGGAAACAAAAAAGAAGGATCTGGAGTTGGAAAGTATGGTCTTGGTGATAGAAACAACACTGGATGTTGCATGACAGAATTTTGCAAGACCAATGACTTCTTCATTGGAAATACCTTTATTCAACGACATAAATGGCAACTACACACGTGGACCTTGCCATATGTAATACCCAGGAACCAAATCAACTACTTCTCTGGAAAGAGACCACGGAGAAGCTCAATATCATCAGTAGGAAGAAGGCCGGGGGCTGACTGTTGACCGGACCATCAATCGCTCATATGCAAGTTCAAGTTGAAGCTGAAGAAAATTAAAACAAGTCAACGAGAGTCAAAGTACGATCTTGCGTGTATCCCACCTGAATTTGAAGACAATCTCAGACATAGATTTGATGCACTGAACACTAATGACCGAAGACCAGATGAGTTGTGGGATGACATCAAGGACATTATACATGAAGAAAGCTAAAGGTCATTCAAAAGGAAAGAACGAAAAGACCAAAATGGATGTCAGAAGAGACTCTGAAACTTGCTCTTGAACATAGAGTAAGCTAAAGTGACTGGAAGAAATGATGAAGTAAAAGAGCTGAACAGATTTCAAAGGGTGGCTCAAGAAGACCAAGTAAAGTATTATAATGAAATGTACAAAGACCTGGAATTAGAAAACCAAAAGGAAAGAACACATTTGGCATTTCTCAAGCTGAAGAAACTGAAGAAAAACTTCAAGCCTCGAGTTGCAATATTGAAGGATTCTGTGTGCAAAATATTGAACAACACAGGAAGCATCAAAAGAAGATGGAAGGAATTCAGAGTCACTGTACCAAAAAGAAATGGTCCACGTTTAACCATTTCAGGAAGTAGCATATGATCAAGAACTGATGGTATTGAAGGAAGGAGTCCAAGATGCACCAAAGGCATTGGCGAAAAACAAGGCTCCAAACGGACACAATGCTGGAAGTAGTCACTAGCCTATGCCAAGAACTTTGGAAGACAGCACCTGGCCAACCGACTAGGAGAGATCCATATTTGTGCCCAGTTCAAAGAAAGGTGATCCAACAGAATGCGGAAATTAACAATCAATATCGTTAACATCACATGCAAGTAAAATTATGCTGAAGATACGTCAAAAACAGTTGCAGTAGTACATTGAAAGGGAACTGCCAGAAATTCAAGCCAGATTCAGAAGTGGAATGAGGGATATCATTGCTGACGTCAGATGGATCTTGGCTGAAAGCAGAGAATACCAGAAAGAGATTTACCTGTGTTTTATTGACCATGCAAAGGCATTCTACTGTGTAGATCATAACAAATTATGATTATGAAGAATGGGAATTTCAGAACACTTAATTGTGCTCATGAGGAACCTATACATAGACCAAGAGGCAGTTGTTTGAACAGAACAAGGAGATACTGAGTGGTTTAAAATCAGCAAAGGTGTACATCAGGGTTGTATTCTTTCACCGTACTTATTCAATCTGTATGCTGAGCAAATGATCTGAGAAGCTGGACTGTATGGAGAAAAACACAGCATTAGGATTGGAGGAAGACTCATTATAATCTGCAATATGCAGATGACACAACCTTGCTTGCTGAAAATGAAGAGGACTTGAAGCACTTACTGATAAAGATCAAAGACTACAACCTTCAGTATGGATTACACCTCAACATAAAGAAAACAAAAATCTTCACAACTGGGCCGATAAGCAACATCATCATAAATGGAGAAAATGCTGAAGTTGTCAAGGATTTCATTTTACTTGGATCCACAATCAATGCCCATGGAAGCAGCAGTC